GACAGCAGTATGCAAGATTTATATCTTGGTTGTGTTTAAATGACCTGCTTTGGTAGCGACCAAGGCTAGCGCTTGTACTGACCGTAAATCTATTTGTATTAATTTGTCGTGACACTGTCTGCTTAAGTCATAGCTTCTGAAATGTAGAGATTTCTGACTGTAGCTTTAAGAAACAATCAGCTTCATAAAATGTACCCATATATAATTAGACCTACCTATATAATCAATCTTTGTATCGTATAGTCTCCATGCAGTTTCCCACTACGTACGATGGCCATGCAATGGTGCGCTGATTACAGCTCGGTCAACATGGTGGCTGGCAGCATAACCTTATTTCCTTATTGATGGACTAGGAAATTTTGAATAGTCTACAGGAGAAGAGCCAATCTTAATTTAGTCTTTCTGTTCACTACCTCGTGGCTTATATTGTAAGCGATGTTTCTGTTTATTGAAATTGCAAGTTGAAGCACGTTTGATTGTATAGCTTACTGTATACCTAAGAAAGTAAGGCCCAGTTCAGACGTCGTGCTTCTGCTGTGCCGAACTAAATTGCAATTTGGTTCGACTGTAGCACGGCAGGAAATCAACTCTGATTCAGACGTCGTGCCAGAGTCGAATCAAATCCAGGGTTTACTGAAGCCTCYTAACAATTCTCCTCCTAACTCCCCGAGGGAACGAAATCTCGCCAAAACACATTGACATAATTTATGAATTTAGTTTGGCGCGACAGAAGCACGACGTTTGAATCCCTGCCGTGCCAGAGTCGTGTAGCACGGCAGAGCTTGTCGAACTTAATTGCTTGCCGAACTTAATTCAAAAGTTTGATTCAGACGCCTTGCTTCTGCCGTGCTTTTGTCGAACTTAATTCCTGAATTTAGTTCGGCACGGCAGAAGCACGACGTCTGAACTGGGCCTAAGAATTAAATAAAAGCCTCCTGATCGACCTTGATCCTTGAGTGTTCGCCATAATCGAAATGAAACGTCCATGCACCCCTAGAAATGACCACAAATCTGCAACTCTGGATGGTTAGGACCATGTAGCCAACTTTTGATTACGGCTGCCATGGTCTGTCATCTGACCATCTTTAGCAAGCCTGAATTTATCCACATCTACATTTTAGTTAGGTTGCAGGAGAACTCAGTGCAACATATCTCAAGATGGATTCTCGTTGCCTCGTTTATTAATTTCGACATTTTTCGTCATTTGGTTGAACGTATGTTTGATTAGATTTGAAAGAAAAATTCTGGGAAAATTCTTTATCAAGGACAAGATAGTTGAACGAAAACTGTATTTGTCCATAAATCTCCGAGCCATTCAGTTATTTCGGTGGTGGGAGACTTGTAGGAACTTGTAATGGTTCAGTTCCTTATTTTTCCATTATGTCCTGGTTGCAGGTATATCCTGCTCTTTCCAGGAGAAGCTGTTATTCTTAACCATCGCCTTTCAGTTAGGGCAAGAAGGAATCAATTTAGCCCTCCAAAGAGCGGGAAAATGATACTGGAACTAAGAACATAAGACCATGTACTCTTTCGTTGTTATTGACCTTTATTTCTCGGATCGAAATGCCTCAGAAAGTCTTGTCTATGATACATAACTAATATCGTTAATTCCAGCACTTCTTCATGTATAAGCTAGTTCTTATCATTAATGTTAACAAATTTCCATCTTTGGCTAAAACGTTTAGGAAATAGAAGCACTGTACGGAAACTGAGAAAAACAGAAAACAATGGATTTCCATTAATGGCTATAAGTCCTTTGATTATTCTGCAATAACGTATAAGTGTTGAAGTTGTCATCCAACGAGGAAAAGAAGGTCGGAAATTATGGCTATTCAAAGTCGAGTTCACTGCTGGGATGCAACCACTAATTTAGACAAATTCGCTTTCGGTCTTTTATATGAAGCTGCTCTTTTGTATGCGAGAAATCATATTCTTCACCGCCTTACTCACTGTGTCGCTGGTGGCCTGCCTTTGTTCTTTTTCTTGGCGAGTTCCTGGGTTTTCAATCAGGAGTGCTCCAACACCAGGAAACTTTGAGGGAAACCTGATCTCCCACTTCTTTGCTCTGCGGCTTGCCGTGAATGACAAGGAGATATCCTGAGTTTTTGTGTCGCGAGACATGTCCACATTACCCAGAGCAATTTCTTTAATATCCTGGACTACTTTCTGGAGTTTCTTATTACCTTCTTCGCCCGAGTACCACTGTACGTCTGCTGTGATCGCTTCTTGAAACTGGGCTGCCCGTGAAGTTTGATGAGGTAAGTTTGGTTGCCCTGCCGGATATCGTACTGCCGGATATTGTACTACCGGATAATCGAAGTCCCTCCTTGGCACTCGCTGCTCAAACGACGCACTTTTATTAAACGGGTTCTCGCCGGGAAGCTTTTCCAGCCGTCCTCTTTCATGTTGGGCGGTCTGGCGATTTAAGAGGAAAGGAACTATTTCTGTCCTGCTGACATCGAGAACTAAAAATCGTGTCGGAGGTTCTCGTCCCCTAATTAGACTTTCTCTTGCTTCTCTTGCTTGCATGTCACGAGTTTGAGCTTGAACCGGTCGCCACTCGCCGATGGGACACACTCGGAATCCTTCGTACAAGCTTTTAGCCACTACATCACGATCACCCTGACTTTGACTGAAAGACAATGCACGGTGGATGACTGGGTTGCCAGTGCTGGTCCACTGACCGAACAAACTTCCACCTCTCTGCTGCTGACTTGCGTGAGATAACTCCTGAGTAATAAGTCGGTCATAGTCCTCTTGGAAAATATAAGCAGTGAACGCCATGTTCGTTGCAGGGAACATCTTCGCTTGTTTCTCTCAATACTTCGTTTTGAGACAACGCCAGCAGATGGAAAACCTTGACTATTTTCCCAGAAACACTGCTACACTCGAGGCGACGATCAAAGGGTTTTGTCACAACGAAAGCGAAGTTTAGTTAATTGCTTACGTCTTTCCAAGAATCCAAAATGACGTGTTCTCCAGCGGGGAATTTTGACAGTTTGTTCCGTCTTTTCTTGGAAGCGTGACTGTCTTCAAGTATTGTTTCCTAATGATATGCAAACCAGTGAACCGTAGACGAAAACATTTCCGAGAATTTCCCGAATAAATAATGAGATAAAACAAAGTAAATATAGCTCGTTTCCACGTGACGTCATCAAATTCCAAAATCCAAAACTAAAGAGCCACGAAAATTGTTATCCTCATAAGGCATAAGGGGCTCAAAACTTATGGCTCTTTACAACTTTTCAGCTCAATAGCGTGCTTGGTTTGGAAACCAGCGCCGTTTGAAGTTCAGAGTTATGGCGGTGCGTGACATACAGCGCCGATCGCGTTTGTGGAAAAATATACACTTATCTAGTGATTTTTAGCCTTTTTAGGAGTTAAAGTGTTAGGAAAAGTGCTTGGGTAAATGTTTGTNGTGACATACAGCGCCGATCGCGTTTGTGGAAAAATATACACTTATCTAGTGATTTTTAGCCTTTTTAGGAGTTAAAGTGTTAGGAAAAGTGCTTGGGTAAATGTTTGTGGGTTCAGTTCAGATAATCAGTCGCCTAGATAGCCAAAGTAAGTTCCAGATGTTTGCACTATTTTTCGCCGCTATGTTGGTGGAGCTGGAGCTGGGCTCTGTAAATTTGCGCAAAACATTTCGACGAATATCTGACGTTTCGATTTATTTTTTCGTTGCGTGACAGCCGTAGCACGCCGTAGTTGAACACATTTCAAAATTATGCGCTCGATGATTTGGTAATCAGAGTTATTTTTTTATTTTTTTATTTTTTATTTCTTCCTGGCGGAATGTTTAGACTGTTCATATGAACCACATGCACTTTTGATCATCGGCTGATCGAAGATCGAAACGCAATGATTTATAGTTTTGCGTGACAGAAAGACAGTAAAGTTTATAGAGATTGAAAGGTGAGCTCTGGGTTATTTATAAGAGGCGAGCGCCACTAGTGAAATGGCATGTTCTGTCTATCACAACCCGCTTCCTGACACCACACGGCTCTTGATTGATTGATCGGTTAATGGATTGACATCGGCGTTGAATGAAACAACAGATTGTCACGCTAAGGGAACGCGGTAAAAACACCCGGTTTG